CCCTGCTTGGCCATGGTGCCATCCCAGCTCTGGGGTCTGACATGGACTTCTTCCCTAAGTGCAAGGCTAAGGATGGGCATAACTCACACACCAGAGGGGCTGTGCTTCCCAGCACACCAGGCACTGCACAGCATCACCCCAGCAGCCGGGAACACAGACTAGGCCAAAAGAAAAACTAATAATAAGAAATGCTAACATATATTTAAGTAATTTTTAATGCTTTCAACCTTGTCTGCAGTTAATGAACAAGAAAATCTTGTCCAAGGGCAAGTTAAAGCAGGGAGTAATTTGTCTGGGTGACATCTTGCTTCGAACTGTATTTCCTACCACTGATATTACACTGTCACATTTGTCACTCATAATGACATGCTCCCGTGTAGCACAGTGGTACGAGAAGCCAGAACAACATTATTAGCAAAGAGATCTGCACAGCACCAGCTGATGATTGCTTCATCTTCCTTCCACGCAGCAGGACACAAACCCAGGTGCTGGTACCTTCCTACCCTATGAGCACAGAGCTGCTGGATCTTTGGTTTTCCCAACGAAAATAACATGCACTGAGAAATGACACAAATTCTGACTCACTCCTAAGGACAGTTGGCATAATGATATTCCCAGCTGTTTTTCTAGGGTCCACAGAACTGATCCCCTCACTTCTTCCTGCTCTAATGCCGCTCATTTCCCCACCACAGCAGTACAGCACAGGGACAGAGGACCCATAGCATCAGGAGACAAGGCAGGCTGAGCTGCCCAAAGCCATGGAGCGTGCGATGCGTGCCCCCAGTCACAGCAGCAGTGAAGGCAGAACACTGAGAAGGAATTACAATCTGGAACTCTGCATGACAGGCTGCAGGCTACATGCATGTGTTCAGAGACATTGATCCACAAGTAAAACTTGCTGGCATCACAGCTGGCCATTTAAAAAGCCAATTCCACAACATTTTCTTCCTTGTACAGTGGAGAACCAAGCAGCACCAGATGCTTTCTCACAACAAACACATCATTAGGGTGGGCCATGCACTTGCAAAGACAACACTGAGCAAAATAAGACAGTTAATTCAACTGGCCTGACTTGGAAAGGGGATGATTGCTAAGGAGTTCCTCATTTCAGTTAGTGTGCAACTGACACAGCAAACAAAAAGCAATAGGCTCATTAAGTCCTGACCATCCTGCATGATTTCCATCAATCATCCCCACTGATATCTCATACAGATGGGGTTCTTGGGGGCTTTCTGATGGTGCTGTGATGCTATGATGGGCAATGCATATCCACACTCCCAGTCCAGAAGGAGTAAAGGAGACAAAGTGCATTACTAGAGGGTATTAATTACAAAACTTTCACACTAACCATGCTGGCTCTGAGAATACAATATATTGCCCACAGTGACTCAAAGCAAGGCTTGGGAAAAACTCAAATTACCATTTCCATTTCACTTATTCACGAGGGTTCTGGCTCAAAGCAATGTGGTTCTGCAGATCTCAAGGTAAGAGGAACTGAGAAGTTATTAAAAAAAAGTTTCCATCACCTAACGTTTCACCAATAAAAATGGTTTCATGCAATATTAGTTCAACTCTGAAACTGGAAAACAAGAAGTTTACAGAATATGCACTTTAGGTGACTAATATATTAGGGTCAACAAAATTATGTATAAGTAAGAGATAAGTAAGAGATAAATGCACACGTTATAACGTCCATATTCAGCTGCCTGGCCTACGGCTGTGCAATAAAAAAGCCCACACTCTTGACACGAGGAAATCCAAGCCAAAGACTTCAGGACCTCCCTGTCCTCCACCTGGTGTGACCACCAGCAGCCACCAGGAGGGCAACAAACCCCAAAGGAAAACCTCCTCCCCAAGGGCTACAAAACCCCAACAGCCAAACCACAGAGCAGGAGTTGGAGCCCATGTGGACCATGAAGCACCCTCACCTCGAGGAGCTGATCTGCACACACATACACTGCGCTGTGCCTTCCATGATCTTCATTTCTATCTGCTGTAATTAGTGATAAATCATTCCAGGGGCTACTGCAGCTGTTATTACAGAAATAAAACACTACCAAAGTAGCTTGTCAAGACTGATTTATACCAAGTGCTGCTCTGAAGTTTATTGGATTTCCATAATAAGAAATCATACCGCATCAATTTGTTTCCATTAATCTGCTGGGTTACACACCATAATTTCTAAACAAAAACACAACTTAGTGCAGGGTAATTTTCTCAGAAGTTATTTATCAGATAAATCTGATACTTGTTTTAAAGAGAACAGAAAGACAGAACAACAAATTGCCCACCTAAACCATTCTGTTGGTAAAAGAGTGGACTCTGAGCAATCACTGCTTTCCATGAATATCCTCCCTATAGGACCAGCACCCATAGGAAGGCATTTCTCCAGAAAAATTTAACGTGAGGAAGGAAAGGTATGAACAACACTTGTGCACAGACCAGAAGCAAGATTAAATCCAACGTCACGCAAGCCCAAGGACTTTGCTGTTCAGGTTAACATGAGATGACTAGAAAACCACTACAGGGTGAGCCTTCCTGCCATACGTTAAGATGTGATGTGTGAGGGAAGCCAGGATAGAGTCAAAAGAACTCTGCCAACAGACAATCTAGCTTCCTAAATGAGTTACACTGCGAGTCTGTGTAATGCTTTTGCTTCAGAAGTGTGAAACTCCCCCACTCCTGAGATGAATCAGCAGCGGCTTTCTAAAATAGACATGCACCAGAAATACAGAGAGAAAAGGATCGGAAGAACAGAAATAAAATCTATCAGGATGAATGGAAGGCTCAGATGAAGAAGTCTACAAGTACAACTACAGCTCCACGGCTCCCAAGGGATTAAGGGGGCTAATTAAACTCAAAAGTGAAGCAGTGAAGTTAAATGAATTTTCTGCAGTAGTCTTTTATTATAGATGACAAGGGGAAAGAAATTCCAATTCCGAAAGCTCTTTGATGATTATTGGCCTTAACAGAGATTTGAGTCTCTAAGAAGGATGTTAGGGAACAACTCAGAATGCTTGGGAGCAGTAAGCCACCAGAACCAGATGGCACCCATCCCAAGGGGAAGGAAGGAAACAAAATGTAAAGCAGATGAGAAACTGAAGAGGAGGCAGAATACAGACTAGACAGCAATTCCTCTCAACCAGCATCGCAATCTCTAACATGCTGGTTGTGTCAAGCAGAGGAGCAAAGGACTGAGATTTATGGATTCGTCTCAGTTCTGAGGTGCACTCTGAAGAAATAACACTTGACTCTGCAGATTTAGAAGTGAGAACAAGCAAGCATTTAATTGGGGTACAAAAATTCGTCTTAGATTTCAGCTGGTTACACATGGGTGTACTGACTGTATTTCAGTCATTTTGCAGAATAAGGATTAAAGTGCTGTTGCCTTTTACAAACACTACAGAAGTATATTTTAGATATTCTCTTCCACCCTCATCTGCTGGAATAAACCAAACTGATGCACTCCAAGAAATGCATGCAACTAAATGCAAAGAGAGATAAAATCTAAACAGAGCAAGTGCTTTTGGTAAGCTAATCTTACACAAGCAATGACATTCACATTAAGAATACAGCATTTTAACAAGAGTGGGGATGCTGAGGTATGTACACCTAAGCACAGACCTGACATCCTCATCATGGAGCTGAGCACCTGGAAGCTGGCATACAGCTCACACACACTAACCTTGCTGCAATGTTCTGAATGCAAGTCTCACGTGCTGAGATGCTTTACTGAAAGAAGCAGTAAAGAATATTTAACAGCAGTGATTAATTTGATATATTCAGCTCCAGTCACTTGAATAAGAGCAAAGACCAACATGCTTACAGTGCCCTTTCTCTAAACAAACAGATTATCTGGTCTCTGTTGCAATGATCATCACTCAATTCCTGATGGGCATCACACCTGTCTGCAAGCTTTTAAGAACCTTATAAATTAACAGCTAAAATGATGCAACTGTAAATAATTAAACCCCAGCAAGCAGAGGCAGACATAACAGTGTGGTACCCAGCATCAGCCACTCTGCAGGAGGACAGCATCATGGGGTTTGGTTGGAATCACTAGGTGCTTTATTTTCATCTAATTAAAATAATTTTTTGAGCCACAGACATTGTGAGCAAAGTGACATATGAGTCACAGTGCTGGACACCGAGACAGAATATGCTTCAAACTATTTTTAGGAAAGGATGGCTTTAAAAACAAATCTGAAGCCACACATCATATCCTCCCTTGGCACTTCCACAAGAAACATGCTGAACTGAAGCTGCTCCCAGCCCTACCAGCTGTACATGGGCTCTGTACATTTCCATTGCCACTGCCTTTAAAATGCTCTACAGATTTAGGTAGAAACTCATTCAGCAACAGGCACATCCCATCCTCTCCACAGTTTTCGCAAGTGGATGTGATGGGAGATGTAGCCCTTAACCATGAGAACAGGACAGAATTCAGCTGGCCAAGTCCAAGATAAAGAAAAAACCTCTCACAGTGAGGGTGGGGAGGCACTGGAAGAGGCTGCCCAGAGACGTGGTTGATGCCCCATCCCTGGAGGCTTTCAAAGTGAGGCTGATTGAGGCCCTGGGGCTGTGGTATCCCTGCTCACTGCAAGGCAGTTGGACTAGATGGCTCCAGAGGTCCCTTCCAACTCTGAGGATTCTATGGTTCTGTGAAATAACCTTTGTTCTCCTACAGCTAGAAGCTGAATGAACAACAGCCAGGGCAAGGGTTAGCTGGGTGAGCAGCCACTCCAGCTGGTGTAAGTGGCTCCAGTAGCTTCCCATAATGAAAATCCACATGCTCATCTTAAAGGCACCACCCAGAAGTTTGTTGTTGTAGGTTAAGATCTGTGGCTTGCATTTGAAAAAAGTTCAGTGTTAAGCCAGTATCATACTCATATTGTGATCCTCAAATCTACTTTAGCCACTAAAGATTTCATGAATACTTTAAATAATACAAGACATAAATGGGAAGACTGCTCTTCCTGACAGGAGTTCTGTATACTTACTGTATTGAGTGCATTGAGTGTAGTGTCATCACGGGAGGCTGCAACACAACCATCTTCTGTGGATCCTCCATCACACATGCCTGCAAAAGCTGCCATGCTCCTTTATAGTTTGAGGGGAAAAAAATTGAAATTTTCTTCAGCTTCTGTCTGATGCACATGTCATGCAGTCCACTACAGTTACCCCTTAAATCACACATTTCAAGGCCCTGACATACTGCAGAAACAAGTAAAGTAAAACGAGGCATCACACGAACAGATCCATGTCACCTCAGCATGGGAAATAACTCCAATGTAAAGTGGGTTTTATTAATTAAAGCCTCTCCATTGCACTCGCAATGGACTGATCAGAATTATGAGAGACAGAAGCTATAGGCACAAGGGCACAGTCTTGCCAAAGACAGCAAACTTGCTATTGCTAATTTAGTTGCATTACGTTATGAAGCTGATTTCAATTGCACATTCCTGACATCTCTAAATTCTTACAAAGGAATAATAATTCATTTACTCACATTCTGAATTATGAGGCCCACTGGCATTAGAAATCTAATATTTATTTATCTGGTAAATCTAGCAAGCATGTCAAAGGTCTGCATAAGACTGAAACACAAATTAAGGCTCATTCAGAAAAAAAAATAGCCTCTGAGGGATCCTACCTGTGCTGTCACAGTTAATCCACAATTAGCAATTACTTCCTTTGTGCTATAGCATGTGTTTTCTCTATCATGCTGCACACGCTGCTGGCTGGGTTTTCAATCCAAAAGCCACAGCCAACAGCAAGATTCTGTGCTGGCCAATCACCAAACCAACACTCCCTTGTATTGCACAGTTAACATCCACACCAAACCAAAATCTAACAAAAAGGAACGGCCACAGTCAACTGCTGCAGAGATGTGGCAGCCCACACGTCCATCCTAAAGACATGGGGATCTCTTGGCTCTGATTACCTTGCTGCCCTAAGGTACATAAGTAAGTCACAGTCGTTGACTCCTGGCATCCACACAAGTTCTTCATGCTGTGTCACTGTGTCACCATCTGGGGAAGGAAAGGGCTGCAGATCAGGAAGCTTAGCCTGGGAGAAAAAAAAAAAGAGTTCATACAGACATTACAGTTGTTAACACTGTGTGTCACACATGTAGCCCCCTGCTATACAAAACTCAAATGCTGTTTGACAGTTCACTGGGAAAGACAGCTTTGTCTTGTCCAAAAGGTGCTGGTGCAACTCTGCTTGCCAGGCTACAAGGTACCAGCATGAAATAAGGCAAGAACATGGCTACCATGTGTTTTATTTTAATACCTCAGTCAAAAATACGCCGCACATCTGAAGTGGAGTTGAAAGCAAAGTCATCAGTAAATTAACAAGAACTCAAAGTGAAAAAGAAATTCTCTGAAAGTGAGACAGCTCAGTGAAACGAACTCTGCCACTAAGCATACACTGCATGCAGGGACCCAATTAGCATCTTTAGTCATCTACTGCAATGGGATGAGATAGCTGAGAGCCTCCTCAGAAACGGCTTTTAAGCCCTGTAATTACCTCCTGTACTTACAGCACTAAACATATTTGAGAAGCAACATTTACACGTAACCAGTAATTACAAGTCACAGGTTCAGATGTCTTTCATGTTCTGCTCTTTAATCTGTACTTTACTTCTTCCTTGGGCAAGTGGGCACGTCACTGACCTTCTCTTCTGGAAGAGGTGCATTACAACCGAGCCTTATATCAGCACGAGGCTGATCTCTGACAGCTCTGCATGCTGGCAACTGCCTTCCAGCACCAAGGTGCTTCCACCAACACTTGCTCATCCTTCTGCGTCCTCAGAAAAAGCTGATTGTAGAGATGCTCCTAAGAGAGGCTTCCTTGCGAACACCTCTGGTTAGCTGCTAGCCAGAGCTTTTCTCAGCACACTGAGTGGAGATCCACCACCCCTCTCCTCCTCTTCGCAACACTCAGATCAGCACAGCTCTCTGAAGCCTTTATGTGCATCCCTGCCTGCTGCATGATATGAGCGTAAGGTATCTGTGTGTGTGTCAAAAGGAGCAGCACCCTACAGCACCATGTAAGGAGAAGAAAGGCAGAACCCACTCCTAGGGCCTCAGGTTTGGTTATGGATGCTTCTGGATCTGCACATACGAGGCCAAATCCAACCACCAGCCACTACTATCCTGAAGATTAAACTTCCTACTAAGGAACAGCTGAAGAACCTCCTGGAGGTGACAGTACCAGCAACACTCAGAACAAAAGTAGTATGGATCAGAACAGGAATAAAAGTAGTATGGAAGTTTAAAACAGAGCCAGCAGAAGTATTCTGTATCAGTGGACCTTCCTTCTGCATATTTTTCCATCCATACCTGCACCTGATAATTACACCTCACAGTATGCCTGATTGCTACCTGCCAAAATATTACCTGACAGTTTGAAATCAGAGTCGTTTCGGAGGTATCGTTTACAGCACTCTTGCTATGAGTGATGAAAATAATAATACAGATTCAATTGCCAAGAACTCTCCTCCTCTTACAAAGCACCCTGGAGGATGTCACATGAGTTACACAAACGATTCCTATCAATAGTCGTTAAACAAGACTGAAAATGAATCCCAAACATGTGGATGCAAAAATACAGCACTTGGACAGGACCTTTTTTTTTTATAATCACATAAAAAGTTTCTGATAAATACAAGTAAGATATAAAATGTGGCTTGCTATTGAGTGTGCATGTAAGAAACACATGGCAGCGATCCCCCAGAATCGCCATGCCTCCCAGCTGAAAAGAATTTAGGCTCTTCTACATCCAAACGATGAGGGAAAAGAAGTGGGCAGCAGCAAACCTCCTGCCTGAAGGAGGAGGCAGCAGCATGGAGCTGCCAGCACATGGGGCCTGTTTAGAAGGAGGTCTGTCCCTGGCAGCTGCCACCCTGCTCTCTTTAAGCACAACACGGTCCCACTGATTTCTGTGCTGAAGCACCACGGTTGCTCAATCCCTGCTGGCCATGCAGACAAATGAAGGGAGCATGCACAGGCTGCAAACAAAAGCACAGGTCAAGGAGGAGATGCAAAGCCACAGGCAGCCCTGCACGGAGCACAGCCACACACACAGCAGGGAGAACAAAGCACAGGGAACCCTGCACTAGGGCAGCTCTAACAAGGGGCACGCCTGTGTCCTGCGTCGAGAGATGGACACACGCAGGTATGCACGTGCATCTCAACACACTTGTGGTTCAGGAAAATCTTCAGCAGGTCTGAAGTCTCCCAACCCTGGAAATTCATCCTGTGTTTCTCAAAAACCTGCGCTCTCTTTGTTCACTTCTAATAGAACTTCACTTTGCTCTCCACTGACTCCAGAGACTTCAAACGTCCCGGGCAACATTCTCCTAACTGAACTACTTTATTAAAAATTAAAAGAACTACTTTGAATATAATTAGAAACCAATACTAAAACATTTTTCAGTGATTTACTAACACGTTGCTAGGTGAAAGTTAGCTGAGGATGCATTTACTCCTATCCCCACGATGTGCCCACGACAGCTGCTTTCTGCTCTCTTTTCTTCCTAACTTCCAGCAGCTATTTAGATTCCCTCAACCTGATTCTGGAGTCAATCCAACACTTTCACTAGTGAACAAAACCACGTAAGCAGCAACATTTGACATTGAATAATCTCGTCAGCTAAGGAGTTCTAAGGAACTCATGATTAACCTCATAAGCTCGTTGTCTTTGAGCGAATACAATTCTAAGTGTGCACTGAACAGGGTAAGTGCCTAGCAGCAAGTCCTGCAGCTATTCAAGTACAAACAAAATCCCTTACCTGATGACTGGGTCCAACTCTGATTTCACCTTGGGTACTGTTTAGCCTCCTAATATAAAAAGAAAAACCAGTAATGAGAAAGAATTATGATTAATGAAACCTGGGATAATGGCCTGCATTTCTGTCATTGTATTTCCAATGCAAATGGAAAAGAAGCAAAAATAATACATTCTTTAAAAGAAAAAAAATAAAAAGATATACTCAGGAACATGACAGGCCACACTGCAAATGGCAAACAGCAACAGGACAAATCTGGAACTTTCAGTCCCACTGTTAGGACAAGGTGGAGGTCACTCCCAAGCACGACGTGAAACCACAGCAGCAGGAAAGCATCGGGCAGTGATGCTGCAACACACATCTCCTCCTTTCTCGTGTTTCCATGCAATATAGAAATAACACTGACATCAGAGAGCCTCTACAAGCCCTCCCAGTGCCCCAGTGCCCAGCCAGCACCTCACCTCTGCTACAGCTACAACCCAAGAACTGCCCACTGCAATGCCAAATCCGAACGCAGACGACATGCAAAGCACAAGCTATCAACAAGCACACAAGGATGGATGCCTTCCTTATGAACACCTTCATGGACATTTTCTTTCTAAATAACCTGTTAAGGAGTAATTTGAGTTGTTCATGTTTGAATAGCGGAGTTTTGTGTTAGCAGAATCTGCAAAAAATAATCCCTCTTCCAGATGAGCTCTGGGAAACCATTCAAGAGTTATTGTGTCATTCCCAATAATAAAACACATTTTTCCTCCCATGTTTTGTACAGAATTACCAGGGAACCGAGGATGAATAGAACTTTATCAGTGAAGTCTGCCCTTTATTACCATACAGACAGCAGGAAAGCACACCACCAGCATTTCTTATTCAACCCTGCTACGGTCGTGGTGATGCGAAGTGATGAAGAGAAATGGTTTACTTTAAACCACAGAAATTCAAACCCACAACCAGAAAGTGCCAGCCCTGCACCAGGCTAACCACCCAGAGCAGCACACACTGCTACACGTTAAAACCAGAGGTTTTCTGACATGGATATCTGCGTGCCTTGTGAACACCTGCAATGTACTTCGACGTTCTGAGATGAAAGCGCGCACTGAGCTTCACCTCACGGATCATTCTGAGATCTTATTCCCAAGTGGGGAAAATACAGCAGTGCATGTGAACAGACCTTATCAAAGAGAAGGATAGGAGGACCTGTCAGGCAGGAACTGAAACTGGTTTTGTAACTCAGCCCTATGCTGTGGTGCCTGCACGATGCTGCCGTCCTGGTACACCAACCTGCTCTCCAGCAGCATTGCCAGAAGGCTCCTGAAAAGAACCTTCTCCAATGGATACTTGTGTGAGATGTGATCTGACACTGTCCTCGTGTTTTCAGGTTATGCAGGGAAATGGTTGAACTCAGAGAGCAGGGTTTGTATTTACAACCAAGTTATAAATGAAATGTGCACTTTTACAGCTGTAATGTGTGAGAATTCTTCCCTGTAAGGCACGAAAGGAAAGGCAACAACAAATGCTGATTCTCTTGCTTTACTCCCAAGCAGGGTTCTAAATAGGTTCTAAAGCCATACACATCTCTGCTAGTCACTGCAAGTCAGGCTTGAGACATGTCTGTGCAGTTCCTGCCAGCTACCATCCTTCACCCAAGCCAAAGGCTGCTGAAAAACAGAACGTATTTGTGCAAAGTTGACAATTTTTGGTTTAGGTAGGGGAAAAAAAACAACAACAACACTCCAAATTCTTCCCCAACTCCCAGTTCCTTCGTTTGCATGACACTGAATATTAATAATGCAGCATCACAGAATCGAGACTGCACGTGCCCTAGCATCCTACGAGGAACTGCAAAGATAACAGCAAAATCTTGGATGGGGTGATTCTTGTAACTGTGGCAGGGAGAAACGGCCCTGTGTGCCCCCATCACCCAACTCAGCATCTGCTGATGGCATTCCCACCCCAAGGGGACCCCAGGTAGGGAAGGGCTGTGCAGAGCAGTGAGCACTGGCAGGGGGTGGTCAGACCATGGGAGCTGCTTGCTGCAAGGGGGCACAACGTGTCAAATACTTTCAGACAGTTTCCGTCTCCCCAGGAACGGATTTGCAAACGGAGAGAAAAATTCTTGCTATGGAAACTAAAACGTACCATAGAGTTGTAAGCCAAATTATATTGGTGGAGCACAATTACAATAATGATGGTGAGGTGATCCGTGTTTATTCTATGGGAAGGAAAAAAAGAGGACCCAACACGGTATATGAAATCTGACACAAAAGAAACCGATGTAACAAAGCAGTATCCATAGCAACAACAACTTAATATTTCAGTCCTCTTCAGCTGCAGTGGATTAAATATAATGACAAGATGTTCCCTTTGAAAAGTAACCTGTTGCCATGGCAACGTTGTATTCTGAAAAGTAAACAGGGGCTGGTCAGGGAGAGATGGAAGCCTGCGACGGAATATCAAAGAGGCAGAAACCTCTCCAGCAGAGCAGGGCAGCACCAGCACCCACTGATCCCAGCAGAGCACAGCGACGTGGGTCAGCTCCAAAGGCTTGGTCCCTGTGGTTCTAAGGAAAGGGGAGGTTGGAGGGTCGGGGCCGAGAGCAGCACTGCAGAGAGCAGTTCAGAGGTGAAGCAGAGAAAGGAGCAGCAGGAAGGCTGCCAACAACAGGTCCTGCAGTGAAGGAACACGCCTATCATCCCCTGTTTGGTCACCTGCCTTCATCAGGCAGGGAAGGACCGTGGCACGGTGAGCAAAGGGGCTGAGCTGCCAGGGAGCAGCCAGGCCAGCAGTGAGGATGGCTCAGGATCAGGCTCTGCAGCACCAACCGCTCTTACTGCACTGCCACAGCCATATGGAATTCAATGCTGCAAATCTGCTGCAAAATCCCAGAGTTCAGAGGCAGAAGCTAAACGCTTTTGTGGGTTTTCGTGCCCAGCAGTTTTCTGCACAGCCCCAGCTTTGAGCTGCCCTCCATGCGAGCACAAGGCAATGCCCCAGCATAGCACACCCCACAGGCTCCATGCTTCTGAGAGCCAGCAGGCAGGGAGCAGACCTCCCAGGTCAGGGGTCACACGTAGCCAGGGGAGCCTTTGAAATGGCACTGCTGCTGCTTTCATGCTTTCCCTTTTACCAATGAAGTACAGCAAGGAACGTGCCATGCACTAATTGCACTGCTCTGCCCTGCGATGGAGCAGCATCCCGTGCCATTCCTGGTCTAATCATTCTGATTCCACGCACTCAGGTGCTCTGTAATTATGCTAGAAGGATGCTTCAGAATGAAGATTTAAATGCATTCATTCTTCTCCTCTTCTGCACAGCTCTCTCTAAGCGTTTTCAAAACCTGCTTTCTAAAACCCATTCCCTACTGCAACAGGTCCATATCACTTATGCAAAAGTAACTAAAAAAAAAACAAAAAAGAAGTTGAAGATGGGAAACCAGGAGTGCCACAACCTCAGCAGCAGCCCTCCCCACCCCAATGCTCTTTAGAGGGATGAAAAAATGACTGCAGTCCAACCATGGTGATCACGAATGAGCAAAGTGTGGCTGCCTCCCCCCCCCAGCGCCCCGCCTGGCAGGATGTTCTGCCTCACACTGCCCTGTGCAGCACAGCCAGGCCTCACACCGCAGCACCAGTCTTTGCCTGCTGAACATTAATGGTGCAGAATGCACAGGCACTGCTGCTCTGCAGCACCAGCACTCATGGGACGTCAGCAGTGCTGCAAAGCAGCCTCCAGCACAGCTCTGTCCCAGCCCTGCTGCCTTCTCCAGACATCTGCTGAGAGACTGAACTACAGCTTGCTAACTTCTTCCTACAGTTATTTCCTACCATCAGAAATTTCATGTTGAGTTGCATAACTTCATGTGTCCAGCCTGCCCCTGTCTTAACACAGGGTTTGTTTGCAGCCACATTTTTCTGGGAGTCCCACAACGCTCAGAAAATACTCTTGCTAATGCAGCCATGGGAAGTCAAGTTTGGTTTAGGACCTGTTTGTAGCAGAGCATGTTATAGTAAAGAGTTGCATAAGCAATTCTCTGTTCCGACTGAAAAAAAAATAATAATAATAATCAGACCTGTGTTTCAGCCAAACCAACTCTTATGGGAACGCCTCTGGTGATTGCTCAATCCAAAGCAGGAACGAATATGCCTGCACCAACGTCTGCATCTCCTGCACGAGCTCAGACCTGCCTGCTGACTGCAGAGGGAGAGCCTGGGGGAAGCAGAGGGCTGTGCTTCCTGCTGCTCTCTGGGGAAGGAAGTGGCTGCAGATGTTTGAGCCCGACAGGGAAAGCTTTTGCACAGCGTTATTTCAGCGTCAGGTTCCTCCTTGAGAATTAAGGTTACGTGGTCTTTAGAAGCACCATCGTCGTGCAAAAAGGCAGGATGGAAGCAATCATGGCACAGCCAGGCCAAGAGCAAGTCACTGGGAGGAAACCAGCACTCTCTCCATAGAGGAATCACCTACATGGGTAATGCTGTGCTTGCAGCCTCCACTGATCACCTCTTTAATGTGCTTACTTCCAAACAGAGATGACACCAGTACTTTGATCACAAGGCCAGAAAAATTAGTTGGTGGAAACCCCAAATTCTACCATCCTGGTTGGGAATACAAAGCCCTAATTAAAACAAATCACAGCCCAGAGAGCTGGAAGGCAGAAGGAAGAGGTAATCATACTGATAAAGAGTTTTGAAAGAAACAAAAATAAAGCCCAGAAATAATAATAATTAAAAAAAAAAATTAAAAAAAAAATAAGACTATCAAGAACTTGGTCAGCATTCCTTCACCTGAAGAATGCAATACAAGCAGCAACCCAGAGAAATGGGCAACCTCAGACAGCCCTGTGGAGCTGCAGCTACCAGCACACCTCTGCCTACAGGCTCTGCTGGCAGCACAGGGGCATCTGAGCAAGGACAGAGGGCCTCTGCACCACTGGCAGCCCAGAGCAGGCAGGCTGTGCAAACCTCAGGAGCTCTGACACCAGAGGCATGGTTCAGCAGGGAGCTGGTGGAGCTGACAGCACCTCGTCGTTCCCACGAGCTCCCATGTGTGTGCAAT